CAAAAAAAATATGATAGAATTAGGGAAAAAAAAATACACTACTGAAAAGACCATGAACTTTGGGCCAACATCTTAGATGTTTCAGTTCATAGCACTGAATACATTATAAATCTAGTACATAAGTCAACAGGTTTTGTCCAAACTCAGTGTATATTTAAATTATATTGGCTCATGAAATACAAAAGTAAATGCAAATTGTGAAATTCTTCTAGGAGGCAGAAGCTGTTTTTAACAGGAGACATTTGGACACATACAAATAAGTTGAACATAAGGAGCTTTTAGTCAGTCCACTGAAAAGTTGCTCCAGGCCTTTCCTAGGGCTTCTGTGTGCATATCTTCCACATTTTCTCCTGTGAACTCCTTAAAGCAGTGTATTCAGATTCCTATGTAAAACTGGACCGTATAAGCTGGAAGTGTTCATCATAGTGTTTGGTATACCTCAGCAAAGCTGGTGCCCTGCTCTTCTAAACCCAAAAGCTCTCTCAGAAGTCCTGTCAGTGGAATGGGACTTTTTAGAATAATCTGGTTTTCTTTGATATAGAAAATACTTGTACTCCAAATGCAGACTTGATAGTAGGACAGGGCTATGTGAGTTAGAAATAACCTATTTTATCCGGTGAAGGTACTTTTAGTAAAGCTGTATTTGGAACTTTGATATTGAGGTTTAAATTATTTGAGGATGTTCGTCTAAAGAGCTCCATGCAGAGGAAATTTTTTTGATTTTGTAGTCAAGCAAAAGGCTGGAGTTTTTAGGACATCTGAATTTCCCATCCTTTCAGAAACCTCCATGAACTTGGGATTGGGAATATGCTTGAGGTTTGAGAGTAGATTTGGGAGCTGCGGTGGCTGAAAGTCGCCCAGCTGTGCCACGCTGCCAGACTTTCCAGCGTCGCGGGGTGATGGCATTTAACTGGAGTTTGGTGTGGGAGTGAGGGAGACTTTGAATCACCAACAAACTCCTGCCATGACCATGGCTGCTGAAGGCAAGGGCCTGTGCCAAGTTGCTCTCCAGAAGCACCTATTTTGTCAACAAAGGTTTATAACATATCACCCAGGACAAAGAGAGCATTACCCACTTGAGGGGCTGCTGTAAAGTCGCTTGCCCTTTGCTGCTTCTGCCTGTGATTTTTGGGGGAGTGGGAGGGGAAGGGAAGTCGTAAGGAGCGGTGACAGTGGAGAGGGGAACGCAGTGAGAGGAGCCCCTGCTGGCATGGCCAGTCTGAGCCATTCAGCAGGGCTGAATACGATAAATGCTGCTTTATCCCTTCTTGAATGGAACAAGATAGCACAGCCTAAATGCCTGGGTGTGCTTAAATAGGCAACTCTGGGATGCTGGAGTTGAGGGCGTTTGAAATCGGAGCTCCCCAAGAGCCAGGGAGCTGCCACAGGTCACCTGCCTCACTCCGTGGGGACTGGCCCGGCTCTGGCAAGAAATCGTCCACGGACGAATTGTACTACAAATTCCTTTCTCTGTCGGTTGGCCTCTTTCACTAGACCATGGCCTATAAAAAATTGTGTAAAAACAATTCTTAAATATTATTTGAAAGGGCAAACGGCCACGCTGAAAGGTTTGACAGTTTGACATATAGCGCCTGGTTCTGCTCGCCAGGGAACGGGCGTGCGGAGTCTGGGCTCTCCTTCTGCTCCTTACAGGCTCTGCATTTGCTTTTTTTTTTTTTTTAAATAGCATCTAGTTGCTGTGCAGAGTTGCTGCGCTCCCAGCAATTTGACAGGCAACGAGTCTGCTTCAGTGATCTTAAATCCTTTTAGACTAATTTGCGAGCGAGCAGAAAAACAGCTAGCACCTTCGGATCCAGCACTCAAAACCAGGGAATCAGGTATTGCCAATTAAAGTGCCATTTCCAACCATCATATCAAGACAGATTACTTGCAGTTCCTCTGATAATGTCACGCCATGCCTAAAGAGAAAGTGAGAGTTTCTCCATGGACAAAGGATCTGCATGGACCAAACTGATCAGGGGAGCGGGGTGGAGGGAACACGGTGGGGATCATACACACACCCATGCATGTGTGCAGCATAAAGGCAAACGCTGCGCCCGCTTTGACCCCAGATAGCCATGGGCCATTCTGAAGAGCCTGTGGCCCCTCAGTCACTGGCCTACTAGTTAATTGCCACACGGACTTGGTGACACATGGGCAGATAATATGACATTTTCGGTTTCTGTCACTAGCAAACGCCACGGCGTTGCTTGCACTAGTTGCTAAGAAGCTGTCAGAAACCATTAGCAGCTGGCTAAAGTTGCCCTATGGCATTTCCTCATGGCATCAGCAAAACAAGCATAAATCACCCAGCGGAGCCTCCCGCTATACTAATGAGGCTGTAAGCTTGTTTATGGACTAGCATCATTTCTATGATTATTTCCACCTTTTCAGTTCGCCTTCATTTGGCGGCAGGAGAAGTCGACTTCAGGAACAGAGTTGCCACCGACATTTTACAAATGCAGTTCGTAGCTGCTACCGTGTGGCTGGTCAGTGGTGCTTCGAGTTTGTTTAGTGATATTTAAAAGGAGGAAAAGGAGGGGAGGGGGGAAGAAAAGGAGGGGGAAATCTCTGGAGACCTCACAGAGGTGAGTGTATCGAGTTGCAAAGTAGATGGAAATACTAAAATCCACAATTGACCATTTAGACTTCTCTCTGTGGTTTCAGTCTTTACGGGATCAATTTTCCATTTAAAAAAAGTGGAAGAGGTTAAACAATTTACAGAAGTCTACTGAAGCATTTGCTCTGAGGATAGCCGGGCGCTTTCTTATCCTCTCCCTGCTTTTCACTTTCTCTAACTTTTGTCGGTCGAGGCCAGGGTTTATTGTTTTAGGCTTTTCTGAACATACACCAGTATTTACACTGGATTGAAAGCATTTGCTTCCAATGAAAATCTTGTCTTAGATTACAGCCCAGCAGTGTAATTTCCCTCCCAGATGGGAGTAAAGTAGCAGTATTTGCCTAAAAACAGTAGGAAGAACAAACTGTGCATTAAGCCAAGGCTGTTTTTGGCTTGAGCTAATGATGTAACAGAAACCTTTTATTTGGGATAGGTCACTGCCCGGGATTGAAGGAGGTGATCTGGCTCGCGCTTGAAAGGTTTCTCCATTGTATCTACATAAGTCTTCACTTAAAAAATCCTGTTCCTAATGCTTCTGCTTTCATACAGCAGAAATAAACAGGAAAGGTTCTGGGGAGTGTTATAGGTGGAATGCAGAAAGCTTTTCCTCCCCTAATGGAGGATATAATTCAGGTGCCCTGGAGGCATGCTTTCAGGAATTCTCTTGCCCGAGGTAATGGGAAGCTAAGGCTGCTTGAAGGCCTTGATTATCTATTGATGCACAAAGCTGGAAAAAAAGTCATCTCCCTTGGATTATAGTAGATATTTCCATAAATTATCAATGAGTCCTCCTCCCGTCAGGCATGAGGCAATGCCTGCTAAATTAATCTGAAGGGGGTTTCAAATGAGTATATTTTTTAAAAAATGGGGTGGGGGGGAAGAGGGTGGGTGGACGATGGCAGGGAGGTGGTGAAAGGCAGTGTCATTAGGTTAGAAGCTTTTCATTTTTAATCAATGAATGCGTAATACTTTTCTTTTCCTTGTTTGCCTCTTGCAGACAGAAAGTAGATTAGCCCGTGGAATTTTAAATGCTGTTGAGTTGTTTCCTTTGCTCATGTTTCTTTTATGAATTATTATTTTATATGGTGAATTGCTTCTCTGTATAAAAGCCCTTTTTTACATACTGGGCTTTCAAAGAATTTGTTGGATATCTAATTTCTTCATAAAAATCTTCTGTTTGTCTGTAACTACCCAAGGTTACAGTTTCATTAAAGACACAGGCCAAGTCATAAGGACAATTATAAATTTGCCACGGTCAGTAACATGCTAAGAATATAACACTAATAATAGCTTTTTTTTTTTTTTTTCTTTTTGTCTGCTGAAAGCTGTTTAACAAATCATGACAGTCTGCATCCCTTTTTTAAAGTCTATTTTATTTTTGTCCCTAACGGAGATAGTTTGTATTCAGCCAAACTGAGATTACTTTCTTCATCATTCTTGCCCGGAGGTGCAAAAAACACTTGCCTAATAACCTCACAACTCTGTGTTGCTACAAATACAGTGCCTTTGGAAGCCAGGATATGTTGTTCAGTCCACATGCATTCAACGCAAAGACTTACCTGCTCTGTGGGCTTGTTTATAAACTGCTTTCAGTGTTTGCAAGAAAAATTGCATGCAAACTGCGAGGCACTGCAACTTTTGTTTTCCCTTGGCCACTAAGCCACCAGCCCAGACCCAAGTGGGCTGTTGCACAGGGGCATCCTCCCACAGACGTGTTGCCACTGTGATGGGACCTGTCTGAGACCTTCTCTGCACTGAGGAAATTCATTCTGCATCAGTGGTTGTTTCAGAGAAGCAGACACATATTGCAAATACGACACACTTAACATAAGCAATGCCTCAATCATCTGTTTTTTTCTGAATTTGCTGAGGGAATATGATGTTGCAAGGGAGCTGCATTCACCCCACTTTTCACACCCCAGGGTGGGATGAGGCACCCAGCTTCACACACGTCATGGTCCCCATCCCAGAACACCGTTTGATATTTTCCTAATTGTCAGCTCAGCCAAAGTAGCTGATTGGGATGAATCTTTGGGAAGTGACCTAGTGTGAAGAAGAGCCAGCATTTCCACCTTTGCAAGTTGGACGCTTGCAAATATTTTTTTATAATTTATAAGCACTTTTTGTTCTGGGTTACAGTGGCGGAGATGGCCACACTGTCCTTCAAGATAAACCAGCATGGGGCCAACACATTTCTGAGCCCCTCCCTCTCCCCATGTCTCTTCCCCCCCCTTCCCCCATCCCCTCAACCCCTGGTGAATTACGGTGTTAAAGAATTTATACCTCATTTAAATATTTATGCAGTTTATACCCAAAGCCAGGCTTCGGCTGAAGTATATAAAGGTAGCATAAGTCAAAATTTGATTCACTATATTTACAGGTGACGGCTTGGACAACAGTGTAGCTTCCCCCAGCACAGGTGATGATGATGATCCAGATAAGGACAAAAAGCGACATAAAAAGCGTGGCATCTTTCCCAAAGTAGCCACAAATATCATGAGGGCATGGCTGTTCCAGCATCTAACAGTAAGTGAACTCTAGATCACATATGCAAAATAAAACATGGATAATGTCATAGTTGTAGTAGTCATAGAAAGCAAAAAAATACGTATGATGTTGCTGCCAGGCAGTAGAGGGACTTTTCCGAGCAGAGTTGTTGTTGTTGCCTCATTTGCTAGATGCCAGGGGAAGAGCACAGAGCATATGTCTTTATGGTATGGGGCTTTGTGTGTGTGTGTGTGTGTGTGTGTGTTGTTTTTAGATTTGTTTGTTTGTTTGAGATGCAGTTGTTAACAGCACATCGCTGCCAAATGTGATTTTTACATAAAGCTTATATGAATACAACCTTGCAGACCTGTCCTGCTTTGCAGTGGGAATCGCTGCTTTGGAGCACAGAGCAGCATTTGGCCCCTGGTTCTGTGCTCCAGAGAATTGCAGAAAACAATTGGGGAGATTAAAAAACAAAGCCAAAAGCAAACAAAGACCTTATTCAGATGTTTGTCAGAGATCATCAGAAGCTTCATGATGAAAGGTCTGAATGTATCTGGTTTAATAGCAAAGTATAATTTTTTTCTTTGAGACATTCTCATTCCCAGAGTGTAAGTTACCCCTGTATTTAATGTTAGGAAGTGGTGGGGGTATGCACAGTTATTTCTATTACCACAGCTACCTGTATGGGTTTTTTTTATTCCTGGGATTAGAAATCAAAGCTCTGTACAGGTGTGTGGGGTTAAGCTGGGTGCTGGAGCTGCTTTCAAGGCTTTATGATATGTACCACACCTTCTAACATCAGCATTTAGAAAAGTGTTTCTAATGCCATTCTCCTTCTTCATTAATTTGTGGTGATCTGTCACTGGGTTTTTATCCACTGTGGGGATCTGGGCTGTGGTTTTGCCTCAGCCTTTCTGTGCCACGAGAATCAGGGTCAGGCAAGGGCTGCTGGTGTCTGCAGGTGATGGTGAAGAAGGGCTCCTGCCTCTAGCCCCAGTAGCTGACTCTTTCCTCTGCCTGTAGCTAGGGTCAGGATGAAACTAGAAGCTGGCCAGCTTGCCCAGCCCCAGTGGGAGCTGTGCCAGGGGTGTACTCATAAAGCAGAGGAAGCACTCCTGCACATCACCCCTCCATCCCCTGCTGAGCCAAGAAACCAGATATCTGCCATGACTCTTGTCAGCACGGGATCAGGCAGGGAATCCTGTCCTGTGCAGTCCCAGCTTGCTATGAATGAACCTTCATGTTGGAGCCCTGCTCCTCAAAGGCCAGAGAGAGCCTGAGAAATCTCCAGGTTAATTTTTCTCTCAGCACACTCCGTGCCAGCCATGCCCCAGCTTTGCCAGGTCCTCAGCTCTGTCTGGTTTGTCAGTGCCACCCCTTCCCAGAGGCTGAGGTCCCTTTGGTGCTGATGGCTCCCCCTTTGTGGGTGCTCACCCAGGATGAGCTGACACTTGGCATCTCTGGGCATCTCTGTGCATCTCTGTGAGCTTGAGGACACCCAGGGCAGTCCGTGGGTGCTGTGCCAGCAGCAATGCTCACACCACCAGCCTGATGCACCTGGTCTATGTTCAGGAATCAGGAGAGGCCCAGGAAGCTCTGCAGGACAAGGTACAACGCTGAACAACTGCATGCCAGCTCCTGCAGTTTCCAGTGAGGAATTGCAAATTAAGTAGTATAAATATTTATTTTTTTTTCCTGAAAGTGGCCTGTTGCTGTGCTTGTGCCACTAAATAAAGCATCAATAAATCTGAACACAAAGGTCTGTCCTGACAAACTGTTTGAGCAGTCTTCAGCACGCTCTTAGCTGGGTACACCCCCTCCAAGTGCCCTCCTGGGAATATGGCAGAAGGCTACAGGGTGTCTCTGAAAAGCTTTTGTGGTGGGAGCCACCTTGTGTGGAGCATTTAACTGCCTGAGCTTGACCTGACCCTTTAGCTAATTCCATGCTGAGTCTCAGGACCAGAGAACAGACTGAACAGACTATTTCACCTGTGTGAGGTGCAGGGTTTTAGTGGCTTTTCACTCTTCTCCTGTGTGATAATAGTGTTCAGAAGAGGAGAGTGCCTGCTGAGCTTGCTCCAGGCTCCTAGCAGCCCCTGGGATCTGTTTGTAAGGTGGTCTCTGCTTCTGGAAGACTCAAATACAGAAAGAACCATTCCTTCCAGGACCTATGCAATGCTGCATTTTCTACCTTGTAACACTGAGCTAAAGCTTGCTTTAAAAATCCACCATCCCCTGTGCAGAGCCAGCCCAGCCATGTGAAGCATGCAGGTTTTTTTGCAGGGCAGCTTTCTCCTCTCCTGGCAGCATGGTAAATCTAGATTTATCTGATCAATTCAGTAAAACAGAATTGATTTATCCAGTCTGACCTTCTTCAGGCAGCACCTGGAGACACACCCTGGGTAGGAGCTTGGACAGTTTCCTCAAATTAAAACCTGTCTGGAGAACATTGTTGTCTCTTCCAGTGCTGGAGCAACAAAGCATGTTCACAGGCTGCTTGGGGTGCAAAGGAACTCAAAATATACCCAGGCCCAAATAATGGCTGTGATAAGAGCTGAGGAGTAGTGGGGGGAAAGACTGAAGAAATTAAAACTCCTGATCATTATTGAGAGCACCTGGGATTCATGTCTGCTCTTACAACATTTCACAATGATATTGGTGGTGTCCCCACCTGATGTCCTTGCTGCAGGACAGAGAACATCCTGAGGAAACCAGAGATCCCATACAGTTTGGGGTTTTTTTATTTATTTACCCATTTATTTATCAGTGGATTTGGTCTTTTGTAGGGTGAACACAAGGTCCTCCCTAAAGTGGGAGGTGAGGAAAGACAGAGGGGTGGTTCTGTTCAGGCAGGGGATATGTCATGGCTGGTGATACCTCCCTTGTGCCCCCAGCACTTTACCTGCCTTCACTTTGCCATCTGAAAAATGGCAGAGAAGAAATGAGCAGCAGTTAAGTGCAAAATCCAGCACCCCACTGACCATTGGTGCTTCCTAACTGGGGTGTTAGCTGGGAGTCCTCCTTTCCAAAAGCAAATTCTTTTCACAATTTTAATATTAATACACATCAGTGGCATGGAATTAAATAAGATAGACAGTAATTGCTGTGTCTGTCATACTAATGACTATTGGTTGGAAAGACCTAAAATAAATATTGGACAAATACAGTCTTTCAAACGTGGATAGGTTGGATTAATTCTTTCTATGCAGTTATTCCAACTCCAGGAGCTTCAAGTCTTCCTCTGTGTACTGACTTCATTTCCGAAGGTTTGTTCCCTAGTTCTTGTTTCATGCTCAGGAGGAAATTCAGTTTTTTCTCTCCGGATGCTGAAGTGTTTGGGCAGTAGTTCCCACTCGGTGTCAGGCTCCAGCCCCCCCCCAGTATTTTGACTGATGTGCAGAACTGAGCTGACATATGCCCAAAGGGTAGGCAAGCACTGTCCTCTGCAGATACAGGCAGTATGCTCTGAAGCTTTTCAGGGATAAATCAGGGGATAAATTTGTCCAAATTGCCTTTTTTTTTTTTTTTTCCCTCTTGGAATAATAACGACAAAAACAATCAACTAAAACAATTGCAAATGTGCTGACTAGACTCACACTTAGGATTTTGCAAGATATTTTTTTAACCATTTGCTGTTCTGATTTAATTTTGCTTAAATATCTGGGTTGGAAGAGCTGCTCAGGTGGGCTGTTAGCTGGGCAAAATGTAGTTGTGGAACTTGTCGAAATTTTTCTTGATAGCTTATGACACCATCTCGCAAATTTGGAGGTTTACAAAATCTAGTTTTAGGGTTTTACTATAAATTTGAGATGGAAGCTTGTTACTATCTGGAAGAAAAAAAAAAAAAAAAAGAATAAGAAGAATAATTTGGTGAAGAACTGCTAAAGTTGAGTCAAAATTTGGAAGAGGTTTGTGGAGTGGCTTCAGATGAGCATTAAATGCCATGGCAGGGGCTGGATGAGGGACTGGGGCAAACCAGTTCTGTGCTGGTGCTTCACTTCAGAAGGTCACCCTAAGGATAATTTCAGGGTGTGTTGCAGCCCAGAAATGTTTTGCAGGCTTTTTAGATTTCTAAATTTTTTTTTTTTTTAATTTTTTTTGATCAATTAACATTCAGGGTTCATCTCTCTGCAAAAATTTTTCAAGCATATCTCCTCACTGTAATGTACATCCCTCAGCAGGGATTGTGAAATAAGGGAAAAGCTTAGGGGAAGGGGAGGGGAATTAAAAAATAATCTTGCTTACAGTTGAATCTGTGTAAATTTAATTGTGGCAACAGAGTGAGTTTCTGCTTCAGCCCATCCTAGGCTTTTGTCTCAGCAATGGTATTATTGGTATAAATTGGTATTTGGAATTGATATAAATACCTTTTTGTTCAAAACTAGGAGGAGGGAGTTTGTGGGATGTCTTTTCAAGTGGTTTTTTTCACTCATTGTGAATACTCTGCATCCTTTAAATTCAGCTTAATTTAAAATGTTGGGATTCAAACCTCATTTTGGGGATTATACAATGTAATTGGTTTGTTATATGATGAGTATTTGATGATCTTCACATTCATCATCTAATCAGGCAAAAAAAGCCATAAAATTATAATCCCAGAAGATGTTTAATAACAATTTAAACTATTGAAGGCTTTATTTAAGCACATTAGGGGATTATAAACTACTCCCTTTTAATGGTGCCAAGAGGTAGATTCGAGGACTTCAAACACCTTTTAAAAAACAAATTGCCATGATTTAAAAAAAAATGAATGGGCTGAGGATTTCTTTCATGTAAATCCCATAATTTAATCATTATTTTTAACTGCTTTTAAAACAATTTCCTTGAGAGGTTAAATCTTACTGAAAGGGGAGACTGAGCAGAAAGTAAAAGACATGGCTGAAAGATGTTGACTTTAAAGTGAAAGGATTTTTTCTGTTATGTATCTGTATTTTTAACCTTTATTGATTACTTGATGCTGTGATATGAAACAAGAAAATTTAAAATAAGCAATATGCAAAATATTTAGTAAAGCTGTTATTTATAAAGGAATTTAC